CCTGCTCGCAGCCCACGTGTCCCGCTCCGTAGGTGCTGCAGCGCGTCCTTGGGGCCGTGCTGAAGCGGGGGGACGGCTTTGCTTTCTTTGGGAATGGGCTGGGGGCCGCTGGCTCGGAGCTTTGTCTGTTCTCTCGAGAGCACTTGGGAGCGGCTGAAAAAAAAACCGCTGTCGTCCCCAGACTACAGAGGGCTGACTTATTTGCGGTGTACGAGGGCCATGTTATGAGGTGGTGTTCGCAAGATAAAGTTCGTACTGCTAGGATGCAGGGACACGAATAATTCTAGGTAACAGGCTTTTAGGAGGAAATGAGCCAGGAAGATACCTTGTTGCAGAATGGAGGGAGTATCTTTCTCCCATTTATAACTAAATCTTATAACTGTCACATTGATAATTATAAACTGAATGCAGTTTTATTAAGATGGTGCCTTGATAGCTGGGGAGTGTAAGGAGAAGTACTGCATAGTTTAGTGTGAAATGTTAATCTTGAGCCTAAACCTAATGTTTTTGTATTGTTAAAATTAAGTAGTCATTCACTTAACGCTGCTAGTGCCAAAATGAAATGCTGTGCTAATCCACACTTGGATTTTTAGAAAACAGCAACCGCTGTTGCCCACTGCAAGAGGGGAAATGGCCTCATTAAAGTGAATGGAAGACCTCTGGAAATGATTGAGCCCAGAACTCTGCAGTATAAAGTAAGCATTCACCCAGCCTCCTTCTGGTTAGATATTAAAATGTCATTATATACATAATTGCTTGGCGAGGGAGAAGAGTTGCTTGCCTTACTGACAGTTGTAAATTTTTGTTATGTTTTTAACTGAAGTATAGGTGCTTTTGTGAAAAATTCATAAACATGGGTGCCTATGGTTTCCTTATTGGGAAGGGTGGGCTTTCTGCTTAACTGCTTTCATGTATGTTAATGTAATTACATCAAGTATTTTTAGCACTTTACATCTATTAAATTGAAATGTGAGAATCTAAAGCCCTCCTTTTTAGAAGATTGTTTATGACTTAATGAAATAGCTGTTTAAACATTGCTGAGAGAATCTAGAACTGGCTGCGTGACTATAAAAGTGTAATGAATAGTGGAAAAGAACACCTACAAACTACTTCAGATCTTCAATTTTAAAATACTTAATTTGTTTTTATGATGTAGTTATGGCATTCTGCTTAAACTGTTCCCTTGTTCTTAATTCCTGTGTGCATGTGCTTTGCCATTAAGGTTTCTGAAACTTAAATTCAAGACTTTAGTAAATTCATGTTATGTTATAATAGCGCTAGTAAATGTCAAAGAACCCTGCCAAGAGGTGTACTTAATTTGGGTGTATGCTTCTAAACTCACGGCTCCATTTTTCAGAACTTTGAATAACTTCACATCTGGTAAACCTACTTTTAAGTGCTAATCCTTGTTGTTTCTGATCACCAATGGGTTTTCTTTCTGTGTTTTATTTCCCAGCTGCTTGAACCTGTTCTCCTGCTGGGGAAGGAACGGTTTGCTGGTGTTGACATCAGAGTCCGTGTGAAAGGTGGTGGTCACGTAGCACAAATCTACGGTATGATTTTTTGGAGGAATCTCTGGTGTGGGATAGAACAGGTCAGGCCACTGTGGTTGGTTTACCCTGGCTGTATGCTGGGTGCCCACCAAAGTCACTTTTATCAGTCCCCTCCTCAGCAGGACAGGAACAGTGAGAAAATAAGATGGAAGAAAAATCGTGGGTCAGAGTAGAATCACAGAATGGTTTGGGTTAGAAGAGACTTTAAAGATCATCCAGTGCCAATCGCACCTGCCATGGGCAAGGACACCTTCCACTAGACCAGGTGGCTTAAAGCCCCATCCATCCTGGTCTTGAACACTGCCAGGGATGGGGTAGCCACAGCTTCTCTGGGCAACCTGTGCCAGCGTCTCATCACCCTCACAGTAAAGAACTTAATAATATCTTATCTAAATATACCCTCTTTCAGTTTAAACCCGTTGCCTCTTGTCCTATCACTGCTTGCTCTTACAAAAAATTTCATCTCCAAAGATAAAGGCAGTTTCGTAAAGCAAAAGCAAAGGCTGTATGTGGAAGCAAAGAAAAACTAAAGATTTATTCTCTACTTCCCATCAAGTGGTGATGTCCAGCCACTTCCCAGGAAGCAGAGCTTCAGTACGCATAGTGTTGCTCTGGAAAACAAATGTAATAACAAATGTCCCTCTTCCTCCTCCTTACTCTTAGCTTTTACTGTCATACAGTATGGAATATCCCTTTGGTTGGTTTGGGTCAGTTGTCCTGGCTGTGTCCCCTCCCAAGAGCTTGCCTACTGGTGAGCAGGGGATGTTGGAGAGACAGCGTGGATGCTGTGCAACCACTGCTAAGCAATGGCCAAAACACCAGTGTGTTATCAACACCTTTCTAGGTACCAATAGTAGTACTAGGAAGGCTGCTGTGGGGAAAATTAACCCCAGCTCAGCCAGACCCAATACAGCTATGTGTTTAGGAGGCTTGAGTTTAGAATAGTAACTTGCACAACTTGATGTTCTGTTCCTTTTTCCACTGTGCAGATAGTTTCTCATAAGGGCTTACTGTTTGTGTTTGATGTGCAAAGCTGTAACAGCTGGAGTAAGATGAAGTGAATTGATAAAACTTCGAGGGAATGTGAGGAAACAATCTTTGCATCTTGCAGTGACAGGACAGTTCAGCTGAGCAGAAAGATTGAGGGAGGGGAAAAGGGGATTATATCTTCAGTTGCAAGTTTTCGTGTTGTTCAAAGCATCTTCCAGCTGACCTGTAAAGTGGGGCGATTTTCTCCCCTTGCAGAGAAGATTACTGTTGGTAGAGTTGCTCTTTACAAATTATAAGCTTGTTCTGTTGTTTCGGTTTGGGTATAGGTTAGTGAAGTGGAGCTGAATCTGCCTAAAGAGCAGAAACATGTTTGAGTCTAGGAGTTGACTGCATTCGGTTTTTCTCAGAAAATTCAGGTTATAGAAATCATCATCTTGATGTTCTGACAGGTAACAGCGTAACACCACCTTCACAGTTACTCCTATACACTGGGTTTGAGTTTGGGTTCCTGTAGTACTGTGCTACAGGCTTGTGTTGACGTTCACTAGAAGAACTGGTCGTACCTTCCTGCTGTCCCTTTTGCCTCCTTAGTCTTCGAGCACACTCATCAGTGTTATCCTTGTCAAAAAGTACGGATGTTTCAGAGAACTGTGTTTCGAAGGATTTAGAAATTGGCTGCATGTAGGTGGAAGATGAACCTGCTTTACTACTCGGGAGATGGTCGAGACTGCCCTTGTACAATTCCTTGGCTATCAGCTGTCAAATCAAATGAACTGTGGGTGGCCCCTTGGCACAGGTTCCTTCAGATTTGCCAAAGTAAAGGTCACGTGAACTATGTGGGAGGGGAGATGAAGGAGGGAAAGGACAATCTGGCAGAAAGCAAGACAGCTTCTCAGATAACTGGCACTTTGTGTTTAAATATAGTTGCAATCTTTACTGATCTGTTATTTTTTTAACAGCTATCCGTCAAGCTATTTCCAAAGCATTGGTGGCTTACTATCAAAAATGTAAGTTGTTTTGATTGTTGTACTAACCTTACGTGGAAATGTATGGCTTCTGGTGGTTCTGGCGGGGGGGGAAAAGAACGTACAGATTTGTTCCACATAAAACTTCCTAAACTGAGGATTTTAATTTTTTTTTTTTTAACAGATGTTGATGAAGCTTCCAAGAAAGAGATCAAGGATATTCTAATCCAGTATGACAGGACTCTGCTGGTTGCAGATCCTCGCCGTTGTGAATCCAAGAAATTTGGAGGACCTGGTGCTCGTGCACGCTACCAGAAGTCTTACCGTTAAAATTGTTCTACAGTCATGTGACAGTCAATAAACATGATTTGATAATTTTGATATTTGTAAATGGTGTTTTTCTGTGTGGGTAAATAGATTTTTTCGCTATGAGTTAACTTAAAATTGATGCACAAATTGATGGGCATTAAAGTAAAATCAGAGGGCTGTTGGCAGTTCCCTTTTACCCCTCATAGTAAGTCTAGATAGATTGGGTCTTGGGAATAAGGAAGAGCTTTCTCCTGTTGACCAGTTTGTGGTTAGCAGAACAGGAAGGTTTACATCCTGTTTTTTTGTAGGTACATGAAACACTAGTAGTTTGTTAGTGTTCAGTCTTTGCCTTTCTGGAAAACGGAAACAAATATGCAGCCTTTCTAGTTTCTATGTGGCCGCTCTTC